AAGGGACAAGGCTCCTCATGGTGGGTGCCCAGTGAGCACTGGCCAGGGCCCTGCACAGCGCCAGGCACACAGCTCCGCGCCTCCACTGCCCACAGGTGCGGCTTCTCTTCCAGCTGCCACCTGGGCCCACCTGCTACCTGGAGGAGTTCTAGGCAAACCGGAGATGGACTGTCCATGTCTGTGTGGACTGGGGTCCCTCTGAACAGACCCACTCCATCTCTGCAGGAATGTTGCATCGTCTCTGACTGGATCCTGGGTCGGTCAGAGGACTGCAGGGCAGGTGGCGTCCTGCCCCACTGCCAGGGCCCCTTTTCTCTGGGCCTCGGCCTTTTAGGGCTTTCTGGAAGGAAGAGCCAAGGTCAGATGGAGAGTGAGCGGCCCCCTCCTGGGACTGGGGTCCCCAGCTGGAGCGTGGCAGGTGGTTCCTGCAGCGGGCAGGCCTTGCTGCTCCGGCAGGGCTCTGGCCTGGCCTGGTGTGGCCCTCACGTGCAGGCTCTGGCTGGGCGCCCCAGGGAAAAGGCCAGTGAGGCCGGGCAGCCCCCACCCAGAACACCTGCAGGAGCTGAGCTTGCACCCGACGCCCTGGACAGCTGGGTTCTGCTGAGAGAAGGGAACTCGAAGCCAGTGTAGGTCAGAGGGCCAGGGGACCCAGGGCCCTGACCAGTGCTCTTTCCCAAGTGACCAGGGCAGCAAGAGCCTTGCTGCTGCTGCTGACTGTCATATCCGCTGGGATGTCACAGGACGGGATCCAAGGAGGTCCCCAGAAGGGAAAAGGCCCCTCAACTGAGCCCTGCCTCATCCTCGAGTCACACTGCAGAGAGGAATTTCAGGAACCATCCAAAGAGGCACAAGCAGAGATGCATGCAGGAAAGCAAGCAGTCGAGCAGGATGTGCACTCACGGGGGAAAGCCAATGAGCTCGCTGGCTGGCGTTGGTGGTGGAGCAGCGGGGGCTGGGCATCGGCTCCTCTCAGACCTCCAGGTTGACGTCACCCGGCTCTAGAGGGCGCGGGACTGTGCGCGTGTCTCTGGTCCCCAACAGTCTCTCCCCAGGCTTCCTCCTCAGTCTAAACCACATGGCAAGGTGCCCAGGCACTGGCTCACTGGGCTTCCTGGGCCTTGTGGGAGTCCAGCTGCAGGAGAACAGGCCCAGCTGGAGGAAGGAGCTCGCCGATGGACGCCACTGGCCCCTTCCCTCCCTGTCTCCTTCCTGCCTCAGAAAGAGCTGATGGCCACACTGTGACCCTCCCCTGCCTGTTCCCCGGCCTGTGCCCCGTAAGTGTCAGCTCTGGCAGAAGTTCTCTCCCAGATGAGGAAGGGGTGTCCGGAGCATACGTGAGGGTGGGATTGCACCTCACCCAGGTGTGCGTGGTCTCTGGTAATTTATGGTAAAAAAATCACACCTTCCATTAGTAGGAGTCACCGGCCGTAACAGGAGGCTGTGAGCCACCACCCAGGTTCCAGACCTGGCTCGTCCCCTGCCCCCTGCAAGCCAGGCAAGGCCCTCGGCTCCTGTGGCCTGCTTGGAGCCCAGCCCCACCGGACGGCTACCTGGGGCAGCTTCACCTCCCTGAGCTCTGTTTCTTCGTCTGCGGAGCAGGGAGCATGGCCCTCCCCTGGAGTTACTTTAAAGCCTGGGTTAATGCTGAGCGGGCATTAGGAAGAGCCTGGCTGGCACCTGCAGGATTTACCCGCGGTGGATCGAAGGCCTGACCGCAAGAACTCAGAATGTGAAAGTCACGGAGGGTTTAAGACCTTTGATTGGACAGTAGGTTCTTAGCTGGACGCCAAAGCACAAGCAATAAGGGCCGGGGAGAAATGAGTCAGTTAAGCCCGGTCGCAGCCGAAAGCACCACCCTAAGGTCCGGTTCAGATGGCAGCGCCCACACGGCCCCCGATCACCCTCCAGACAACAGCTTTTGAGCTCTGCTAAGCTCTCACTTTACACCACACTCTTCCAGGAGGTTGGGTTTTGCCAGATTACCAGCTCCTCCCATCCACCCCAGGGGAGGTTCTGTCACCTCCACGGAAGGATGAAGAGACCGAGGCCCACAGAAGCCCAGCAGCTGGCCCGGGGCGTGCAGCACCTCTCCCGTGCTCGCGGCACGGGGTGTGGACTCTGTGGCCTAAAGGACCCTGAGCCGTGGAATCCAGATGCCCGTGTGAGAACGTGAACCCCCGTGGCCCAGGGCCGGCCTGGTCCTCTCATCCCCACCCGTGGGCCTCGGGCACTTCTGTAGGAGCGACAGGGCTCGCTGCCCCAGTGAGCGCTGATCAGAGTGGGCCTGGGACTTAACTAGAAAGTTAAAGTTAACTTATTCCAGGTTTTCAAGAACAGAGGGGCATAAGGAAGATGGTGTCTGAGAACAGCCTCCCGTGCACTGGGGTCTGCTGAGAGGCGTATGGGGTCAGGGAGCACCGGCGGCTCAGCCAGCCGAGGACATAAAGAAGGAGGAGGGGACCCAGGTGCAGAAGCCCTGTGGTGCCTCACAGAACACAGCACCCTCGGAATTCCACACCCTCTGCACCGACACCTGGGCCTGAATGCCACACAGAAATGGAGACGCCCATCTATCAAATACCAAAACTTTACTTAAGACATTAACTGGCTGTAGCCTGATTCTGTTCAAAAATCCTTTGCAGTCTTAGCACACATAAAGGGGATTAAAATCCAGGAACTCGGGCTACCCTCGGGCAGACTCACAAGAACAGCTGGGAGATTCAGTTAGGGTGCACACTTGTTCTGGAAGTTTCCAACTTATTTCTGGTTGCAGGGCATACTTTAAGAACCAGGAAGCCCAAGCAGAAGACTAATAATCAATAGGGCTCTCAGAACCATCCTGCTGAGAACAATCTGGGGAAACTGCCCTTTTCTCTGCTTTCCGTATAAAACATTCAATATTTATGTTACTTTCCGTATTGTAAAAACTACCTTCTTCTCTCAGTAGAATACACTGACCATATGTTTCTGAAATTTCCTTTTTAAAAAAACACTGGTTTGATTCCTGTTCCTGCTCGGCATGACTGTTTCTGTAGACACTGGGTATTTGCAAAGGAGGACCAGAAATATTCTGTGAGTACCCACAGGGAGGTGGGCGGATGCAGGGCCGAGCAGGCCCGTGGCCCAGAGCACACGTACCCAGCAGGCCAGTGCCTGCTTCAAGAGCACCAGGCCGTTCCTGGGCACCAGTCCTTAAATTTGGCTGTACACCGAAGTCACCTGTGTTTCTTTAAAATGCCGATGCCTGGGTCCCCCACCAGAGATTCTGAGAATCGGTCGGGCGGTGGACTGGGCACTGGGGTCTAAAGTGCTTTTATTAAAAGCCATGATTAAAATCTCTATTATGCACTGAATTCCGAGAACCCCGGCCTGGACCTTCGTCCACCCCTCCTCAGTGATATGCCCAAGGTCAGATTATCAGATCCTGGGCCATCCGGGGCCACACTGCGGTCTGCCCTTGGCACGCCATCACCCGGAGGCCCCCAAGAGCAGCCAGAGAAAGGCTGCATCGTCCTGCACATCTCCCCAGACCACGGTCCACTCAGGCAGCCGGTGGCTTCCTCTGACATCCCACCAGCCTCCCTCCTCTGTCCCCTCCAGGTGACTGTAGGAGGGTCCCGTCCAGGGCCTGGCTCCCGCCCAGCCCTCGACGGCCCCAGGAGGCCTGCAGCTAATCTTGCCTCCTACTGAGGCCTTTGTCAGGGGCTTCCTGTGGCCGCAGACCCCCAGAGCTGGCTCCTGACCCGTCAGGCGCCCTGCCTGGCCCCTCCTCCACCCCTGGCGGGAAGGTCCCGGCTCCCCTGGCCCAGCTCCTCCCACCAGCCTCTCCTGTCTGTCTCTGGTTTTCTCTCAACGCCTCCATCTGGGCCCTCCAGCATCTCACCTCCCCTCAGCACCCCTGTGGCTCAGGTGTGAGGTCCCCAGAGCCGAGGGTAAAACAGTGCACAGATTTTCAGAGTGAGTGGTTAGACCCTGAGAGTCGGGACCTCACAGAGGGTCGGTCTCCTGCGGGGGAACTGGTGCTGGGTCATGGTGCTCTGCCTCCCTGGACCTGGAGCAATGGGGCTGGCCAACCATGGAGTGGCCCTCTGAGACCATGAGCCAAAATAAACTCGTCCTCCTTAAAAATTGTTCTTGCCCAGCCTTTTGGAGACAGAGACAATAAAGCTTCGAAAAACAGTGGCCCTAAATGTCGTCCATCTCTCGGCAGAAAGCCACTTTCTCCAGATCCTGATGCCTGCTCCAACAGGGACGAACCCTAACTGGAACTAAGGGAAGTGAGCCAGTCATGAGCACAGACACCTCAGGTTCCACCTGTAGGCAGGGCCTAGAGTAAATAAATCCATGGAGGCAGAAAGCCAAGCAGAGGCTAGGGGAGTTGGGAAGGTCATGGAGATGGGTGGAGTGATGGCTGCCTCAATGTGACTGTGCTAATGTCACTGAGCTGTGCACTTAAAAGGGACTGAAACGGCCAGGGAGAACATTCTTTAGTCACTTTCTGAGGGAGGCTCACCTGTCCGCTATGCAAGGAAGGCCAGGCAGCCCTGTGAGGTTCCCAGAACTCCGGGGTCCCACCTCGCTTCCCCTGAGTCTCTCTGACTGGTCTGTACCAGGTCCTCACCACACAGTTTTACAGCGAGCACAGAGCACCCAGGACCCAGATCTCCAGGCTCCCCACCCACCAGTCCTGATAACTGGGGAGACACTGCAACTGCTAAGCGCCCAGTGCCACCTGATGTTGAAGTACCCAGTAGTACCAAGGCCGCCCATCGCCCAGTGGGGCCATTGGATGTTAAATGAAGAAACGGTGATGATGCTGGGTGAACTCTGTGGGGCCTGAGTCTGACTGATCCTCGAATAGAGATCGTGTTGCTGGGGGGGAAACATGAAATGATTCTTTCAAATAAATACAACAGAACAACGAAAATGGCTTCAGAGCATGAGGCGGCCGGTGTGTGCCACGCCCTTGGCTCACGCGGCTTCCTCCTCTTTCCAACCAGATCTTCATCTTTGAGAACAACATCTACTACTGTGCGCACGTGGGGAAGCAGGCCATCCGCGTGGTCTCCACCGGGAAGGAGGGCGTGATCTACAACGGCCTGAGCGACTGGCTGTACGAAGGTAAGAGGAGGTGGGGGCGGCCACGCAGACCCACGGCTGCTAGATGGGCTGCTGGTGTGACCTTCTTTGCCCTTTGCCTTGGACCATAAGTTAGACTGCAGCTCCCTGAGGCCCCACTAGGTTGAGATGGCCGCATGGGTTGTTGGGGCATGGGGCCGGGCACCCACAGGAGCCAAGAGCCCTTCGGCACTGCCCTGCCAGGCAGGAGGCCCTTAGTGG